CTTCTTCTTCTTCTTCTTCTTCTTGTGTTTGTGTGTGTGTGTGTGTGTGTGTGCGTGTGTGGAAGAGAGAGAGAGAGAGAGAGAGAGAGAGAGAGAGAGAGAGCTTTGGCGAAGACGACGCCGACAGCTATGGCAACGGCGCCTTTGCGAGCGCCACGTGTCCCGACGTACGCACGGGTCCTTTTCCGTACGTCCGTACGTACGGACCGTACGTATGGACCGTTCCGTCCGTACGGCGCGTACGCTTAAGGCGTCGGGTGCTGGACACATGCGTTCCGGGACTTCCACCGACCGGCGGGTTCGGGGGGGCGGGGGTGGCCCTTTTCCAGGTTGGGCCCACTTCTGAGGGCCGCAGGCACAGTTGTGTGCGGGGTGAGTACAAGGGCATCCAGGAAAGGGAGGGGAGAGCAGCAGTTTGTCCTTGTCAGCAAGGACAAACAGAGGCAGGCAGAGCTGAAATGTTGCGGGTTCAAGTGGATCATGAAGGGGCAAACACTGCCAAACTCCAATGGGAATTTTCTCATGGAGTGCAAATTGTGCGGCCGGGGGTTTCAGGGCAGTCAGTCAAAGGCCGCACAACACTTCAGAATAAAAAACAACTGTTCTAAAGTCATTGAGGAGCAGCTCGCGGAGATTTGGAACAAGACAAATTACTCGTTTGATCACAGCCACCATCGAAAGATCCTCGACTTCCTCAGGTCTCGTGGGTTTCGAGACAATAGGAATACTTCGGGGAAGGAGCAGGCGGGGGAGGACGAGTACGACGACAGCGAGGATGAGAGGAGGGCGACCGAGGGGGGAGGTGGTGATAGTGACAGTGATTCACGAGACATCGAGGTGCGGCGAGAGGCGGAGCGCGCCAGGGGTAAGATGAGGGGGGACAAGGCCGTTGACGAGGACAGCACCCCGGACGAGCACGACGACAACGACGATGACAACGACGATGACGACGACCATGAGGGCGCAGATATTGGGGCGTCTCTTGCTGGGGGTCTGATGGCCGCTGGGCGACGAGGCCAAGAGGGGGCTGCCAAGGCGATGAAGGAGGCTGCGCAATCGACGAAGAGAAAGAGGAAGGCAACGACACCAGCTCCTCCTCTGCCGAAGAAGGGCAAAGCCCTTCAACAGACTTCCATGCTAGAGGCCTTCGATCCGGCGTGGCAACGAGAGTTTTCGAACGAGTTCCTGCAGTGGTGGTATGTGAGCGGGATTCCATTCGAGGCGGCGAGGAGGCCGGAGTACCAGCGAGTGAGGAAGCGGTTGCTTGAGTGTCCGCCGTATACACATCCTGCGTTGCCCACGCACCGTGTCATTTCTGGCGACGACATCCCAGAGCAGCAGCGAGTTGTGGCGGAGATGGTGGCGGCCGTCCGCAAGGACATTGCGGCGACGGGAGCGACCATCCTCACCGATGGTCGCAAGTCCATCACTAGCGACTAGATAGTCAACTTCCTTGCTGCTGGCCCAACGGGAGCCTACCTTTTCAGGATTGTGCAGCGTGACGGTGCTGTTCAGGAGACAGTCGAGGTCGTGGTGGAGCGATGGAATGACGTGTTCGACAAGTTCGGTGTCGAAAACGTCAACGCCATTTGCACTGATTCCGCGTCCGCGTATGTGGCTGCATCCAAGCTCCTTGCGAAGGAGGAAGTCAAGTACAGTCGCATTACTTGGCTTCCGTGTGCGGTCCATGTTTGCAACTTGTTGTTGTCAGACATTGCAAAGGACGACACCCCCGGGAAGCTTGGGAAGAGGGAGGACACCATCATCAGGGCTCGAGCAGTCGTGCGTTTCATCAGAGAGCACGGGGCGGCTCTCAGCCTTTACCGATGTTTCTCTGCCTCCCACCCCTCTTCCGCCTCGACAGTTGCGGCCAGTTCCAGCGCTGCTCCACCCTCGTCCCAGCGGCGAGGCAGAGAGCTTGTGTACCCCGCACAGACGAGGTTTGTCACGCACTACTTGATGCTGGAGAGGTTATTAGATCGTCGCCCAGCGTTGGAGTCGATGATGATGAGCGATGACTGGTTGCGGACTGTATGGAGGAGGTCCATTTTCTTGCAGGAGAGGTGGGTGCATCATCAGGTGCGGTATGCGCCATTCTGGGAGCACATGGAGGACATCGTGGAGCTGATGACGCCTGTGATGCAGCTGCTGCGACGTTTGGACAGAGGGGGGCGTGTGATGACTCGCATGTGGTCGTGGGCGCTTGCCATGATCGACAGAGTGGCGAGGGCAATACTAAACAGGACGTGGATGGAGGATCTCAACATCGTTGTTCAGGTTTGTCAGGCGCGGGTCGATCATATGTTGGAGCCCGCACATTGCATGGCCCACCTCCTCAACCCTCGCCATAGGAGCATTATGTATTTTGGAGCGACGAGGCGCATTGAGCACGACAAGACACTCGCGGAGGAGTCGCTGTGATACCTTCGCCAGCAGACTGGCGGAGATGAGGAGTTGTATCAGACATTGCGCACGCAGTTGGCGGAGTTTCTGAGCCGGAAGGGCGATTGGACGTATGGAGGGGTTCAGGGTGACAGGGACGCGGCCTCCTGCAGAGGGGAAAAGGAGACGTTGCAGGTGGGGCAGTGGTGGGTTCAGCACGGGGACGGGGTCCCTCTCCTTCAGAATTACGCCATTCGCCTGACACACACATGGACGTGCGCCTCTCCAGCGGAGAGGAACTGGGCCGTCCATGAGCGTGTTCAGGTGAAGAAGCGTAACCACCTTGGTTTTATCAAGCTGGCTCGTTTGGTGGAGATATCCACCAACTTGAGATTGAGTCCTTGTCAGGGGAGGGGTTCAGGGTACGTTCTGCCATGGGAGGATGCTGAGGAGGAGACAGAGGACAGTATTCCTCCGCCTCGTGACGAGGGTGTTCGGCCAGCTGACCGAGTCACGGAGGCGCAGCGCGAGTGGCAGGTGCAGCGCGGGCGGAAGGATCGCCTTTCGAAGGCTCCGCCCAGCGTCGAAACGTATTTCGGTCGTCGCGCCACGGTGCTCATGCCGACTGAGTTGGATGCCGTGTACGATCCGGAGCCTAATCCTATGGCTCAGGACCCGATTGAGGCAGAGCCGTGGTCCGATCCAGACGACCTGGCAGTGGAGTCATAGCCGGGAGATTCTGATGACGGGGGCGACAATGTTCCTCTCGTGGAGATGTTGCGTCCTCGGACGTGTGCTTCCACTGCAGCCGCTGCGCAGCATCCCCCTCCCCCTCCACCTCCGGGATCGAGTGGTCGTGCTTCCATTGGAGTCGATGCGCAGCATCCCCCTCCACCTACAGATCGACCAGGACATGGCGAGCAGGGGACTCGACAGACTGTTGAGGAGGGACGAGGCGACGACGACGATGATGACAGAGAGGGGTACGAGGGCAGCAGTGAGGACGAGGATGATCCTGCCTATTCCCCGACACGCAGACGTGGTGACGACAACGACGACGACGACGAGGGCGGCGATGGCACATAGGCTGCAGGTGGTTTGCGGAGGTCGGATCGAGAGCGTGCCGACCGATGCAGTGGTGCAGGCAGGTGAGGTAGTGGTGCAGGCAGGGGAGGTAGTGGTGCAGGCAGGGGCGTGGTGGGCGCATGAGACACGGGGGCTGCAGGCCGTGGTGGTGGAGGACGGGCGAGGCGAGAGTCTGCATCGTCCACTCGCACTGTGCACTTGGTCGATGAGGGTGCCGCGACAGCAGAGGTTGACGCCGGGTCGAGAGAGTTAGGTGCTGCATTGCCAGAGGCCGCTGCAGAGGCCGCTCCCTCCAATGCAGGGAGCGGAGCGCCGTTTGACGAGGTCGCACACGAGTTTGCAGAGGTTGCTGACGAGGCTGCACAGGTTGGGAGCGCTTCTGCGCAGTTGGGTGCTAGTTTCAGTGGCATGTTGGATGTTTCATTAGGGTTTCCTCCGACACCAGCAGGTGAGCGTGGCAGTGGTGATGCAGACGCTGCGGCTACGCCCGTCAGTCAGGTACTCCGGGATATACCTTCATGCAGCATGGGTGACATCAGTAGCAGCATGTTGCAGGAGGCAGCAGCGGGGACACAGGGTTCGTCGGGGCAGGAGGAGTGTGCACCAGGGGACGGTGGGGATTGTCGATCTGAGCAGGAGCGAGCGCCTGAGTCGGAGCAGGACAGGATCGACCGCGAGGAGAGGGAGATGGCGCAGGACTTGGCTAGCCGTTGCCATATGACACAGAGTATTGCGTCGAGAGCACGGGCACAGCGGTTGCTCGAGACGGGTGGTGGAGAAGGTCATCGTGCGACAGCCGATTCATTGCTCGAGTGTGGCGGTGCGGGCGGTGAGGAGGCAGGCGAGAGACCCGCGTCGCCGGTTCAAGGTGTTTGTGTATTGCCTATCGGTGGCGCCATGACGGCGGGGGAGTTGGAGCGGCAAGCACAGGAGGACCCATTGCGGGCAGATCGACGCGGACGGATGGATGAGGTGTCAAGGAGGTTCATGGCAGAGGCCCCAGCGTACGTGTTGTGCAGCCCGTCACTGCCATCGTCCACCACTGGTGCCACCACCTCCGTACATGCTGAGGGTGCCACCACCGCACCGGGACTTGCGGAGTCTCCTTGTCCCAAATCGCGGAAGAAGAAGATGAGAGCAGGTAAGAGTCTCAGTACCGTGAGGAGGGTGATGCATGCGATGCGGGAGAGTCAACCCGGGTTGGCTGGTTTACATCCGCGGACTCGGGAGGCATTGGCCCGGGACGTTGTCACGGACACAGTAGGTTGGCGGGAGAGGGCCTCCACCTGGGCGACGGAGCAGTCCATGACAACACCTGTTGAGGCGGCGATGCCACGTGCCGAGGGGCGCATAGCAAGTAGGGGGGAGGAGGCGGAGCACAGTCGCCCCCCCGGGAGGAGCATGGTCGGACGTATATTGGGGGAGGATGTGAGGACTGTGCCTGCACAGCGACCGTCAGAGACAACATGCGTTTTGGAGTCTGGTACCGATGATTTGCAGATGCCTCGTGGCCAGCGGAGGAGGGCTTCCATGTACGACCTTCTTCGAGCACAGCACGGGGTTGAGGCGGCGCCACAGGGGGAGGTTCATGCTCCGGGTACTGCACACAGACCGGTAGGAGGCACAGGTGGCGGCAACGATGTCACAGCTGTGGCGATGCATAGGAGGAGGAAGGAAATTATGGACAACGATGATGATTAGTCCCAGCATTAGTCATCTTTCGTCCTTTATTTCTCAGTAGTGTATACTACATTTAGTGCATCTGAGGACGTGTTGTATTTATAGGTGGCTTAGGTGCAGTGTATGTTATATGTAGCGTTTCGTCGTGACCGCATTTCTATTTGTATAGATGGTTAGACTACTGCACAGTTTTCCATACACAGGTGCAGTAGGTGCAGATTGTTCTTTCTTTTTTGTTTTATTTTTCCATCGATGGTTCAGAGGATTGCATTTTTTGTTCAGACATGGGCGCAGCATCTGCAGCGCTTGCATTGTGTTTGTTTTCCTTCTACTTTGCTATCGATGTTTCAAACGATTGCACACTATATTCGCACAATATTTGAGTGAGTTCAATCTTCATGCTTCTTTTATTGTTGTGTATCTATGGTGCAACTGTTTCCCGTTGTTGTCATGTTGCCATGTATTGTTGTACTTTCTTAATTTCTGCATCGATTATCACTCGCAGATGATCTTCAATGACTCAATGCTTTTGAAAACTGTTTGTAATTGTTATTGTTTGAAATCACGAACTTGCTGTATGCTTATGCTTGTTTCGTCCTGATGTTCGTTCGCCTGTGATGCATTTGTCAACATCCCCCACCCAACCCTCCCGAAGGGGAAACCAAAGGATGACCTTGGCAAAGACTTCTCGAAGGACCCCTAATAATGCCCCCAC